AGACGTGGACATCCAAGGAAATCCTTCTATAAAGTCACGTATCGTCAAAGTTTTGAGAACACCATAGCTCACGTTAAAAAGAGAAAGGTATTGTTACGAATTTCTTGTAGATCGGGGATTGCGCAATTCTTGAGTCACAAGGAGTTTGTAATCAACCTATAATCGGCAGTAAGGTGTGGACTTTTGAGTCCAAACAAGTAGGTTTTTCCCGTCAGCCATCATCAAATTTGAAATTGCTGACATAAAACCCCCTAGGGGTTTAATTTATACTTAAAAAATTGTATCTCTTGACAGCCCATGTTGTGATGGTTTCGACAGCTTCTAGACCTCGTCTGCAGGGGCGGCTGTGTAGACGATTTGCTGTCATTTATCAGCTAAGTGTTCATTATATAGTTATAATAAACACAGCAGGTAAGGCCAAAAATTCTCAACAATTGTGGCATATGGGAGGGAAGAGAAGGGTCTGCCTGAGCAGAAGCATGAAGAGGAGTTTCTGGAGTGGAGAGAGAGGTGTTAGGAAAAGGTTCATCCTTGGGAAGAAAGAAATCAGGAGGGAAAATGATGGGGTCAAAATTGTTAGCTTTTAGAAGATCATTTAGCATCGTGGGATAGTTGGCACTTTTGAATGCTTTGTGACAGTAGACAGCAGTGAGTACAATGGTCTCAAGGATATTCGATTGTTTGGAGGAAGAAGGAGCCATGGGAATGTTTGTTTGGGCAGCCACTGCATAGGAAGGGTAGGCTGTAGATGTGGAAGTAGAAGGAACAGAAGTATTGGGTTGGTAAGAGGATGAGGATGTTGACTGTGCTTGTGGAAATGGTGTCAAGACTGGGTTGGGAAGGTTTAGAGGCTGGTCTTTTCGTAAGGAAGAAACATGTTCCTTACGAGAAGGGCATTGAAATGAAGTTGCAAAATGTGCCTAAGAGTAGTGCAAGCATTTGGGAGGGTTGGTACATTTCTGCCATGTGTGGCCTGGAGAAGAACACTTGGAACATAGCTGTTGTTTGTTAAAAGCATTCTTAAAATGACCAAATCAAGGCATTTAAAGCACTGATGAACAGAAAATAGTTGGGGGAGAAAAACAGTGAAGTAGGTGGAAGAAGGAAGAGTTTGCTCGAACCATGTTTTGAACAATATATCGCCTCATCTGGAGTAGAACATCTGATCTTAAGAATGTTGGTACGTTCAGGATGAAAAAGTTCCTCAACTGTGACATGATTTTGTGAGGAAATGTCAGTCATCAAAGCGTCTTTGTCTTGGTTGTATTCGTTAAGCAATGATGAGTCGACAAATTTTGCCACAACTGTGCTCCTGGCCTTATGATCAGGAGCCCAATCGATAGCAAAGCCTGCCATAGAGAGCTTATCTCGACTTCCTTACTGGTACAGAGGTCATAATTTACAGGATCAAGATTTACTTTACACCTAGTATGTGTCTTGATGATGCTTATCATCCGAGCCTGGGTAATGTTGAAAAAGGTAGAAGCATAATCAATCGTATCCTTATCATCTTTAGAGTACTTTAATATAAGGGCCATTGTCGGAAAGGTGGGTCTCTGTGCAGTTGCCATGATGACAACAGCACAGGTAGGGATGCTGCATAAATCGTTATCGGCTTCTATGGGGCGTCAAACGTATGTTTCTGACAGGACATGTTTGTGTTGTGAAATGTACCTGCCAAGATGAGGCTTCCCGTGCGTAAATCACAAGGAATGCAGCCACGGGCACCGAGCAGACGAATACTCCCACCGACGCAGGAGCAGGTCCAGCCGATCCAGAAAAAGAAGAAATCTTAGAGAGGAGAGAAAGGTGCTGGTGTCTCCAGAGCGATGTATTCAAGCCGATTCACTGTGTGGGGATCTTTAAGCATCTCAATGAAGAGGGCTTTACTGGTCTCTAGGGGGAAAACGGCACAACAGAGAGCTAAACCCGTGTCACACACAAAAAAGATATTGTTTAAAAAAAAAGCTGTCTTATTCTCCGAGATGCTGTCACAACCGAACATGGGTATGAGGATATCGGTGTGCCAGGATTACACATACACAAAGTGCAGAGGTATGGAAGTGTTGCTTGTGAACAAGGTATCAGCAGACGACACCCAACAGGATGAGGTGTGAAGACTTCACCCAGCTGCAGGAGTGCAGAGGCCAACTGTCTGCCCTGTGGCAGGCAGCCAGCGACGCACAGATTCCTGGAGCCAAGATGAAGAATGTCCAGAAATCAACCAATCAGGCAAGGTCTTCTTGAAACAAGAAAACTAATGCAGTTTTTCTTCAACAAACACAGCAAAAGCTTCTCCCAGCAAGGGGATCGCAAGGTAACCAATCAGGAGCAAGCAAAGCATGCAGCCAATCGGGAGCAGGTGCGTCTGTCCAGTGCGGAAGCTAGCAGAGGAATCAATGAATTGATCGAGCACACCACAGCAGTCTGGCTCAGAATTCAATGAATATGTAAAACAGATCAGATCAGAGGACTCACAGGTAAGGACCCACGAGGGGCGAGGGTCAAGTGGGGACAGTGCGAAGAACAAACGGTGAGAGGAATGTCTTGAGTCGAAGAGAGAAGAGTCAAGACTAGACCCAACTGCTAAGCCTGGATAAACACTGACGAAGACGATGTAGAAGACAACAGGAACTCTGCAGGTGCTGACTGCAACTTGCTGGATGGAAGATTACTGCGTCTTGATGGTGATTGGTGGCTGCAGGCGACAAGGGAGGTGCTCATCGTTGATTGGTCATTTCATAATGGCTTGGTGGTTACTTGGAGTTGTGGCGTTGTTTAAAGATGTAAGTATTCTTGGAGAGTACAGTTCCATTTTCAAGACGTTTAAATCGTTGGAGAGGAACTATCATGAGACGTGTTAACATGTGTCGATATCGAGGATCTTGAGAGCATTTTTCAGTATGCTTTATAAGACTTGAAATTTCGATTTTAGTAGTATAGGTAGAAGATTCGATGACAAACTTGACTGTCTTTTGGATGAGGTGAGATTTGAGTTCACATGGCTCCATGTGTTGAGGATAATTTGCTGTGGTGCAGAAAGTGACTCCATCCCAACTAATGTACTTGTCGTTATCTTCATCTTGTACAATATCGAGTCAAGGGTCGTAGGGTGGTGTTGTTGGTGCCGGTTTTTCTTTCTTGTTATGTGGTGTTGAAGGTGGAAGTGAATATGCATTGTCATCCTCATTGTCATCTTCAGTAGACGAATAGGAAGATGTTTCTGGTGGCAAGGCTTCTGATTGGTCGGTTTCAATGAGGAGTGGTGGCGGTGGAGACTTCTCATTGGACGTTGTTGGAGTGACGTCACTAGTTGTTGGTGGTGTTGGAGCTACTGTAGCAGAGGTGTTGATTAAGTCCTTGGTGAATTTTAGAATTTCTTCAGAAGGTGGAGATGCTGGAAATATGAATGATGGCATGTTGTTTAATGCGAATAACTCGTTGATGGTAGAGTTAAAGGTTCCAGGTACAGCCATGTTCTGCACGTGAGCGTGTAGTAAACAATAGTGGATCTTCGTTACGTCACATGTTGGAGTAGTGATGGTGGTGGAGGCGGGTTGAGTACATGCTTGAAGTAATTTTGTAGTGTCTGCTTGTAACTTTGCAATTGCTGCATACGTTGGTGTGTTGTTAGTAGGTTTTTTCTTTGCTGCATCTTGTGTTTTCTTCATAATATCCTTTCTTGCAGGACATTTTGCTGCCAGTGTATGGTGATCATTACTTTTGCAGTTTAAACACGCTGGTTGTGTTGGAGCAGCAGCGGTACAGGAACTGAAGGTGTGTCCCTCACTACCACATGTAGTGCAGAACTTCTTGTCTTTTACTGGACATGCTTTGGTGGTGTGAAGATAAGAATAACAGTTCGAGCAATGTTGGATGTAGTGGTATCTCTCTGTTTCTATGTAGGTGGGACTCATGTAGCAGTAGTAAACAGCAAGACCTTCGTTCAGAGCAGTGGCAGCCATGTTCACGTCGGTAAAGGTGACCTTGAGCATAGACGATGCAGTCGGGATTTTGGTAATGCTGTTAACAATGGCCCAAGTATTTTGAGTTTCTATAGATGACTTGAGTTCAGCAATTGGTTGAGAGGTCAAAATCTTATCCAGTTTCTTCAGGAATACTGATTTCCTTGCCCTGAGGGCAGGAGATGATGTAACAGTAAACCCTTGAGCAGTAAGAGTAGTGGTGGCTTCTGTAGTAAGGAACTTCTCTGCTTCAGCATCATCGTGACACACAACAATGAATGCTTCTTTCAGTGACAAAATGGTGTTGAATTTTACTTGCAGTACTCCCTGCACAACAGTTGCAAGAGCAATCTTCGTTGAATCATCAACGGTACCACTTTTTGGCTTGATCTTTACACGATTTGCGTAGCTCATCGTGCAAGTCAAGGAGAAGACGACGCTGGTAAAGGTTCCCCTCCCCAACGGGGAGGGGAAGAGGCGAGAGTCAAGAACAGAATCCTATATATGTAAAACAACTTGCGATCTTGGCTTGAACAGCAACGCTCATCTTGCCATATAAGACAAGCGAAAATTTGTGTATGTAATAATTTCGCTAAAATCACTCTGAACCTAACGAAAAAAATATGTTTCATTGTATTTGTTTATTATTAAATTATTGTAAAAGTATCTAAAATATAATTAGTTGTACTAGTCTAAAATAAATTGCGCTTGTTATAATAAGGTTAGGTAAGTTTTCTAAGATTCTTTTGGTGCAAAATTATAATTTTTTACATTAGCATTACTGAAAAAATACATCTTTAAACGTATAAGAGAAAATTTTAAAAAGGACTTAATTTTAAATGAGTTCTTGCTAACTGACCAGTTTTATCTATTCGGCAAGACATACATATACAGGAAAATATAAAAAAAAATCGTTAGATTAATTTAGATTAGGTGAGGTTTCTAAGTTAGGTTTTGTCCAAAAACAAAATCTTTATATATTTATCATTTTGTAAAAAAAAAAATTACCAAACCCAACTGAGAAACCTCACCTAACTTAACCTTAACTAGCCTAGTTTTTTAGGTAAATTCTGCTATATAGCATATGTCAGTTTAAATTTATTTGACATCGACACCATGCCCAGCCCTTCTAGGGTAGGGTAGGTGCCTGAGCCCGAGCCTTTAGCTCATAAGACTGTCATTCCCATTAGCCCCCTTGGGGCGGGGATGGCAGACCAGAGAGGCCTAGCTTGTGGCTAGGCCTGGGGACAGTTGGTCCCAAAGATGAGGAGGTGCTTGTGCCTCCTCCCATGGGAGACTTAGGTCTCAGACACTCCCTAAAGAGGGAGCCAAGGCCGGGCCACCACTTGGAAAAGGCCCGGGCCGGGAGAATACCGGCTAATCTTTAATAATAATAATAATAAATTTATTTGAAATTGCTTCAAGTCAATGATATATATTTTTTCTTTATGTTCAGATTGATTTACAGCAAAAACAAATTTTCATTTTGTTAATTCGGCAAACAACACTTGCCGAATAGGCACAACCGTGCGATTCTACTTAATCGACACGACCTGTATATGTTATCTAAGACATTTTATATTTACTTACTGATCATAGAAGTGGTGATTGTGAAGTTGCCTATGAGGTAGCAGATTCGAAAATTGAAAAAGCGAGTGTCGGTGAGTGAAGACACAATAATCCTTGTTAACATGTTGCATATTGCAGACACAGACACAGTCCAAGCAGCTTCTTCCAAGGTGAAGCCTGAATCTTGCATAGCAAAAGGGACGATGACCATAAAATTTAGGTATCCAGTGAGCGTAAGAGCAGCACTGATGGCTATGATGACCGCCCTTGCCGACCTAAGGATGCGCAGGTTAGCAACACTGGAATATATCACACTTGTCAGAATGTCCCACTTGCTTTTTGAAGACATGGGCTTACGAACTGATCTGTAGGAGCTCTCACCAACGCTTTCATTAACATTTTTATTGTTTTCTGTTTTAGTAGTTGTAGTTTTCAAGTGCCATTCAATGGGATGGAAGACTGTTGCGCCCAAACAACAGTTGAGAACTATGCCACCAAGTATGAGTATGGAGCCTGAGTAGGTGTATTCAGATTGTAGATAATAAATTAATGGAGGTCCCAGCAGCTGACCTCCGCAATCACTTGCCATTATGATGCCATTGGCTAAGCCTCTTCGCTTTCTGAAATAGTAAGGCACAATCGTGTAGCTGATGCTTAGTAATATACCTACGCCAGTTCCTGCAAATATTAAACTTAAATCCTGATTGGTTCAATGTAATTTATTACGATTTTTTTTGTAATAATGTGTTAAACAGTACTGGATACACATACAAACTTGAGCACATCCATTTACGCTAATATTAATTTTTATCGCAATGAGATGTACTTTCCTTCAATTTTTTTCAGACAATAAGAATAACGTAAGAAATATTATAGAACAAGAAATCAACATTTTATAATTAGTAGCAGTGGATTATAACCTTTTTTTTTCAAATTACATATCTTCTTCTGTGGCACACCTAGTCAATTAGCTAATTGAACAGCTTTCCATTAAACACACACACACACACACACACACGATATCTAAAATATACAAGTCTTTTAGTGTAAGTAATACACAATAATTATAGGTCACAATCAAATAAACAAAACAAACTAACTTGTCCTCTGTAACTTGTTTTTAGCGAGATATTTGAGTTTGGTATATTTGGCAGATTACTTTGAAATAGGTGGAATATTGGACAGACATTCCCTTCTTTCTTCGTCAAGTAATTATAGTCTTTCTCTGTCTTTAGTATTAATGTTTGTTAGCAAAGAAAATCCCTCACGTAGGTAAGATGTGCAGAACTGCTTCATAATTGTTAGTTTTTATCGCAGCTTGAAGAGAATCATTCATAATTTCTATCCTAATTCATCCAGCGTCACTTCCTTATTCTTTTTTTTAGTCAGTTATCATAACACATTTCATTTAATTCCTCTTCTTCTGAGAGACTGAGCTTCGACGAGCTTGATGCTGATGCAGTAAAATGTGTTTCTCAACCAGTCATAGTCTTCCACACATAAGTTTGGTAAATACCACTGATTTTTTTCTGCAAGTTCTTCAAAATGCTCAAAAATAAATTTAATGATCTCTTTATTTTTTGTGCATCAACATGTGGGAACATATCCATGTTGCTTTCTTTCATTTTGACAACCCAATTTCTAAATTTATTTCTGAATGCATTAATTTTGTCAGTGGAAGATATGATATTATCAGTGTTGTCTTGTATGTTGGAATTTAAATGATTAAAGATATCCACTAAGTAGGATAATTTTGTAGACCAAGTGTCATCTGCAAGCAACACTAAAAATTATTCTTACTGCTGAAGGGGAAAGAAAAATGTTAGTAACTCATCCTTGAGTTCATGCACTCGTGACAACACTTTGCCTGTCAATAGCTATCTTGCCTCCGTGTACAGAAGATTAATGTCTTCACATAGTTTGCTAAACATTCGTCATTTAAGTGGCGTACCTTTTTGTAAGTCACCATTTTTACAACTTTGTCTAGTACAGTCTTGAACTTACTACCGACTGTTCTTCTGACCAGCACCTCACAGTAGGGACAGTAATGTGTTGTTATGACATCACTGTTGTCTTTCTGCACTAATGATACAAATCCTTTCACTAAACCAACCATTGATGGAGCACCGTCTGTAAAAATTCTTACACAGGATTACCTGGACAAACCAACAGCTTCCAAGTATTTATATAACGTAATGAATAGATCTTGGTTTGCTTTTGTATCTTCATGATCTTTACAATAAAAAAATGGTTTACTAGCTTAGCATTACCAATGTTGTGAATGAATGCTAAGAATTAAGCCTTCTCTCTAATATCTGTAGACTTCGAATGAAAAAATTTCACTTTCGCACACAATTTCTTTTATGTCTGCTGACATATCATGTTTCCGTCTGTTAATGTTATTATCTGCGGGTGAAATATTTTATACTTCTCTTTCTGTTTCACTACCAAACATGTATTTTTACTATGGAACTGCAAACAGGAAGAATAAATGTATCTGTTTCTGTATGAGGCTTCATATATTTAGCCAGTAATTTTCTTACTATGTAGCTGCCTACTTAGTAGCAGCTTTATTAAAAAGTATCAGTTCTGTTATCGCTCTTTTAAAAGTCTCTCAAAGTATGATGGAGACCTGTTAGTAAGATGATCATGTTTCATAGTGAAATGAGTCTTTAATTTGCTGAGAACTATTGCTTCATTGACCAGTTTATCATCATAAGTAATGTAGTATGGTGTAGAATTAACATTATCAGCACTAAGTAAATCCCAAATCTAAATAACTGTCAAAGTATTGTGACTTTCTTTCTTTTAATCACCAAACAATTTTTAAAGGGAAAAGGGGAAAGTTTTTTTTTCTGTTTCATTTAATTTCCTTTTTGGTTTTTTTCACCCTCACCACCAAAAAAAACATCTTCATTTCTTTTTCTTCTTTTTTACAAACCCCGTATATATTAAGTTAAGTGGAAAAACTAAAAGTTTCCAGTAAAAATATTAAAAATGAAAAAAGTTTACTCGTTACATCTCCCTGGAAAGTTTATCACGTCAAAGACGAAAACCCAACATGTATTGGACGCACTAAAATGTAAAGTTGTAAAAAAAATAAATATAAAACCACACCAGGGTAAAGGGGTTTTAACCCGCGGTTAGAGTATTTAAAACTAAAAGGGCCGTCGCGCTGGGGCCCCTGGGCCAAACTAGCTTCAATTTAAAAATTCCCCCAACTAGGTATAATTTTTAAACCCAAAGGGGAAAGGGTTTGAATAGGGACACTTTTGGGCCCCAAATGCAGGTTTTTACGGGAAACTCCCCCCTAGCATAGCCCTGGGGCGAATCCTTGGGTGATTATTATTATTAATTTTAAAAAAAAAAGAAGCGTAACCACAAGGGTTACAGCGCTGGGGGGTAAAAAGGAACCCAGGGTACTGGATGGCAGAAGGGGGGGAGGGAGGGGGTTTAGTAAAGGGTTTCAGAAAACAGCAGGGCAAAGGGAAAAATGCGGGGGGTAGAGGGTAGCAAGGGTTAATTAAAAGTAAAAGGGCTGAAGGGATCAGAATTTTTAAGTAAAATCCCGTCGTTGTCAAAAAAAATCAAAAGAAAGTCTGGATGAAAGGGGGGTCCATCCGCGAGAAGGGGAAAAGGTTTTAAAAAGAGGGAAAAAGCGGAGCCCAAGACGACGACGGAGGGAAAAATTTGCGGTTTCTCGTTGGGTAAAAATGGGCAGTCCAAAAGAATTTTGGCCCGACTGAAATTAATGGAACTTTTGGGAAATTTTCACAGAGAGGAGCAGGGCGCCTCTCCATGGAATATCCATGGTAAGCGAGTATGGGCCCAAAGGAAGACGGGAGAGAGTAGGGCTCCCAACCTTGACACTGGTGATAAGAAAAACGGCCGTAACCTATATCGGGTTTTTAAAAGATTGAAGTTTGTTTTCCGGCATAGTAGGTCCAACGTTGTTGCCCAAAGGGTGTGGGAAAGGGGGGAAGATATTTCAGCAAAATTTTTCCCTAAAACAATCCTCTAAATGAAAAATGGTAGGGGAAGTACTGCTTTACCCCCCGCAAAAGTTTTCTGCCGTTCGTTGCCCCCCGTACGTCCAAAATGGCCAGGGGGCCCCCAAAAAAAAACAATACTTTTTTGCTTGGTAAAAAATGCGGCGTTTGCCCAAAATTGGATACGGAAAGGGTAAGGGGTGAAGTGTACAAATTTCTGTATAGCCGTAAAGCACTAAGGGGGTTGAAAACAAACCCCAAATGATACACAGGCTTTGATGCAATACGGATAAGTGCTGAAAGGATGGCATACAATTTAGCAGTAAAAATACTAGCCGAAGATAGTAAATGCCCTTGTACGACGCTTTCCGGAAACACTACTGCGAATCCTACGCCGTCAGAAGACTTAGAGCCATCTGTGTACACAGCAATGGTATGAGAATGAGAGTGAAAGTGGTCAAGAAAAAGAGAGCGGGAAGCGACCATAGACAGTTGGGCTTTCGAGCAAGGGAGAGAGAAAGAACAGACTCGAACAGCTGGAACTTTCCAGGGGGGTAGGGAAAAGTGAGTGCTACATGTACATAGAAAGGTGGTAATTGAAGAGAAGACAAGAGCGAATGAAGGCGAAGAGAGAAGGGACGGAGTAAACAGGGGCGGCGAACAAATAATGTCTACTAATATCAGTGACCATTCTATAAATGGAAGGATTGCAGAGATCATGAGAGCGTACATAGTAGCGAAGGCAATGGGCATCACGGCGATTGGATAAGGATGGAACGTTCGCTTCTGTATAGAGGCTCTCGACAGGGAAAGAGCGAAAAGCACCAAGGCATAAACGTATAATCCTTGGTGATGAATGGGGTTAGGGCTAGAGAGAGTAGTAGGAGATGCCGCTGAATAGATCTGGTCACCATAATCAAGTTTCGATAAAATAAGGGTGGAATGTAGGCGAAGGAGGGTTCGACGATCAGCTCCCCATGAAAGATGAGCAAGGGTTTTAAGAAGGTTCAGCCGGCTGTGACAAGTTGCCTTCAGAGAGGTAATTTGAGGTTTCCAGGATAACCTACGATCACGTACTGTATCACGTTCAGGGATACGGGAGCCATAGAGGTACAAAGGATGATCGGGAGATGACAGAGCATCTAGTGAAAGTATTTTGGTGGGTTTTAGTGCTGGAAAATTTAAACCCACGTGTGGTGGCCCAATTGGAAACATGGTCGACTGCATGCTGGAGAGAAACTGTAATAAGGTGACAGCGCCTGCACAGGCAATAGTGAAGTCATCAACATAAAGTGATGACCAAATATTTGATGGAAGACTAGAGGCCAAATCATTAATAGCAAGAAGAAAAAGTGTTGTGCTCAGAACACATCCCTGGGGGACACCTTCAGCTTGGATAAAGTCCGGGGAGAGCACATTATTAACCCGAACACGGAAATGCCTGTCAGTTAAAAAGTTCTTAAGGAAGGATGGTAGATTGCCTCGAAGGCCTAAGGAGTGGGCTTGGGCTAAAATATTATACCTCCAAGTTGTGTCATATGCCTTCTCAAGGTCAAAAAATATGGCAATAACTGAGTGGTTATTTGCAAAGGCATTACGAACATACGTATCCAACCGTAGTAAGGGGTCTATGGTAGAACGTCCCTTACGAAAGCCATATTGACGAGTGGAGAGACAGTCGTGTGTCTC